CAACGGGCTGCACTAAAGACACGTCAGTCTGGCTCACGACAAGCGTTAATCGAGCGGCGCCCGGCTCGTGTCAGTCCACAACTAACGTCGTGTATTTGTGTGGCGCGCCATTGACGTTGGCCTTCCCACCGCGTCAGCCGCCATGTCCAGTTACATTGCCAGGTCACTTACGGGCTCGGAAAGTTGACTAGAGAGAGGGAGAGTGAGGCCGACTCTGCGAAATTCACCCCCTCGACGCAGCAACGCATCCCTCATTACAATAAAGCTGGCGCCCTCCAATCTACCCTGACGCCCGCCAAGAGTCATGGTATCGGAGGTGCCAGCTGATGGATCAGGCTGTGGTGCCTCCTCAGTACAGCCTTTGTCGCACTTACGCATGTGAAATTCAGGCCTCCCGGCGCATGTAGTGGTGGAGAGGCCGTGTGTGGCCCGCGAAGACGGTCTGTCCGGCCTTGCCAGCCCTTGCGCCCGAGACCACCTCCGGTCATCTCGGCATTGTCTTGCCATCGGAGCCAGGCGGGTGAAGGGGGAGAGGGCGTCGTAGACACAGCACCACGAACCAATTCACGCGCACGTCACCGATACGGTGCTCCCTCCGTGTGGCGCTCGATGAACGCATTCACTCACGACGACTGCTGCACTCGATCCGATTCTCAGTTGATTTAACTCGTACAGTCTTCTGGGTTCCTATTCTCAAGACGATGCCGTTTGCCGGCCTGACCTCATACTAACAATGTACGTAGCTCTTAAAACTTTACTCTGAACTCTATCCTGGTCTCTGCGTGGCTTTTGTGATACCTCGCGCTCAAATATTGTTCGTCGCATCCCAACCACCTGAAGGCGTATCCAACTGGAGATTCAAAGGTGGACGCAGCACTGGTATTTATTTTCCCCTGAAGGGCATCCCAAAGTAGGATATCCAGCTACCCTGTGACCCGTTTACTGCAAAATCATTTAAGTGGAACCGTGGAGTCTGGAGCGAGAGAGCTCTTGTTACTTAAATTGCAGCGTCCAATCATACCGCTTGCTGAATGGTCATGTCCACGACCGGGGTTAATGTGCTATTGTGCGAATTCTGCCTCCCCGCGCATATGTTTTTAAAGCCCCAGTTTTGTCTGCTCTAGCGAAATTGCATTTTCCTAGTCTTTGATTCCCATCAGAGCCCTATTCGCTCCACAGACCTCAAGGATGTGATTGCGGTTGGCAACCCTCACAACCCCCGGCTTACCACTGGACAGCCGTCACACCGTGACTGTCTCTTAACTGATAGCGAACGATCAAGATTGCCGCTGGCGTCTATATGAGGAAGTCGGTTGAAGGTTTAATCAAAGGTTTTCAAAGGCTGCTATTGAACGCCCTGTAAGTACGCGGTCCTCCGATCCAGGGTCTGTGACCTCTCCGTCAGGTGGAGTGGCCTATTCTGGCTCAGCAGTGGTGCACTCCTCCTGCCCATGTGTGCCGTAGAGTGCTTTGATGATTGCGAAGAACTTCACCCCCACCCCGACCGGTGCCGACTTGCGAGCTAGGCAGTAACGTTTTACCTCCTTCCACCTCGATTGAAGTAGATTTAGGCATAGGAAGAATGCATCCTGTTTTTCGCACGGGGCGTCCGTTTAGCTGTCTGCAGCACACACCGCGGTGGCAGGCGGAGACCGTTTTCACTGCAGACATTTTGAGGGAGAAGGCCATTGTTGTTGTAGCTACCATGACGACCAAACACTCGGGTAGGATAGCGTAATCTGTGCCGACGCGCGGACAATGAAGTCACTAATAACAATCAGTTTGTCCGCCTTCGACAGTCAAGTCATTGCGGGAAACGGAGGCACTGCCGACGGTGACTAATTTGTTTTCCTAAAAAGTCAGTCTCATGATTCTAAGACAATCGTTGATTCCCTGCGACAAGCAGGACAGGCGTCTTACGGGGTACTGGCCTGGGAAAGCGTCTCATCGCTCCACGTCTGGGCTTTTGCTCCAGAACAAAGCATGCCCGACTGCCACCGACTGTACGTGTTCTGTGAAGCGGCTCTCATCGAGAGCAGCTATGCGCACTGTATAGTTTTCTGCCTTTCCGGATAGTTTGCCATTGGAGCGTTTTAAAAGAAACGCACGTTCAAACCGGCCAGCGTGACGGGCTCCACACTGGCGGTCTGTGAGGAGGCGGGTGGTAGATACGGCGGTTTTGACCACGTATTTTGCGTTCACGGTCAGCTTGCCAAAGACGTGTCTTGTCAGGAATTTTTTATCCCCCTTCGCCAGGGGATGAGCCGTGCTACCGCTAGATGGGGCCTCTTAGTCAGTAAAGGCGGTTCCCGACGTCTCCCGCGGGGAAGACGATCCGAAGCAGCCTGGACCACCTACGGGAACTGTCCTCTCCATAGGGCTTTTTGTTTGGTTGGCCGGCGGACGCGGATTTGAGTGGGCACTATTGGGCGTGTAAGCACATGCCCCAGCATCGCCATCTAACTTAGCGTGCCGGTTAAAGACGGCTAACGCCGCTGAAGGCGGTGAAAAAGAAGAAGAAGTATCCACCAGGCTCGCCGATGCGCCTAGTGGGACGCGTCAGCGCACCGCTAACAAATAGTCGCTGAATGTGTGAGCTACTAGCGAAATAAGCAAGGAGCACACAGAGCACTCGCGACATATCTAGTTACAGGTGTTAAATCGCCGACCGCACAGCACTAAGTGCCTGCTCTTGCGTGTGCTCCGGTAATGCCCATGATCTTCGAACCTCTTTACAAGTCGCAACCTAAGCACCTGTGAATCACATCCGTCCTTTCGAGAGTAATGGCAGCGGTGTTGACTTCCACCGTGATTGCGCATCATTGATGAGAAGCTTGATGTGGAGAGTGGTGGTGATGACGGTCACCTGGGCACGCATTCAGTTACTGTATGCGGGTCAGTCAGACTGTCCAGACTGGTTTGTATCCGCGGTCTATTTATGACAGTACGTGTGTGTCTGGGTGCATGTGCGTGTGTGTGTGTACGTGCCATGTTATGGCCAAGTCGGTGGCAGTGTTTGGTAGTACAACTGCGCAATCCAGTCATCGCAGCTAGCAGAGTCTGGACCAGTGTATAAACTACGCCGTTCTGTCTGAGCGGCCTGTCGACTTGGACACCTCAGTCACTGCTTATAGCACACGTTTCAACCCTAAACAGTTTTCGCATTTTACTAACAGGTTCGCTCACGCGTGTATGGTAGACCGCCAGGGAAGTTGCATTTCCTTCACGATTAGTCCTTGTCTCCCATTTCTGAATTACTACTGTTCTCTCTCTCTCTCGCTCGCAGTTTATCCTTTTTCGCCTGCTATATATCCCTCCTTCGCGATAGCGCTAATTGCATTTTCAGTGAAAGTACTTTCAAGGACCAGTGTGCGTTGGCAAACTGCGTGTGACTGCCTCTTCAAACCACTCGTACGGAGTTTGTGGTTTGCGCGCGCGCGGAAGACTTCATTTCACCTTCTGCTGCCAGACCTGTTAGATCCTCTTCGTGCTCAGCTTCATGGAGGTCTCGCCCTGCAGCAGGGGTTTATAACGGAACAGTTTGTTGTTGTATTAGCAAGCAAAATTGGCGACTAGCGGACCGTCGGGTGTGGACGGGTGGGCAGTCGCGGATGTCCGCCGGCCGAAATGCCCTCAGACTGGACTGACGAACCGCATACACCGCCAGACGGTCTGCTGTCGAAGTGGTTTTATTTCATGACCACTGCCAGCTGCAATCCGATAACGCTTGCCCGCTGCACACTATCTCAGCCTTCGCACCTTTATGACATCACAGTCGATTTCCGCGAGCATTCACGAACTGTGCAGTGGACTTTGGAACCATTTAAACCAGCACAGACACTGCTAACTAATAGCCCGTTTTTAGTAGCAATTTTCTCATAGCCCAGTTATACCATCACATCCTATGGGCAGACAGAATCTATGAGTAACACAATGCGGCCCTCAATGTCGGTGGCGGCGCATTCCGAGTGTGTTTTGCGTAGTTGATGGCGGAACGTCCGCTGATCAACTGCATAATTCTCTTCGCTCCTGCAATTCATTTGCGGCTCTGGGGCGCATTCCGCCCAACCCCCATCACTTCCAGTCGTCGGCTCGTATGTGAAGTTGCTTAACTGTAGTACAAATGACATAGTTCCCATTTTTAGCGAGCAGTATGATTGCCTCAGTCCTAAGGGCTGTCCGCTAGTAGCTTTCACTAAATCCATGCAACTAGACGTAGCCTACCTACGCATTTCTCAGTTTGAGTTGAGACCGCGACAAGTTCCCCTCCTTATCCACTACAGAGGCTGTGGTAAGCCACTCACTCTTTACGGTCCTCAGTCCTAAGGGCTGTCCGCTAGTAGCTTTCAACTTCCAGCTCAATAAATCCATGCAACTAGACGCAGCCTACCTATGCATTTCTCCGTTTGAGTTGAGACCGCGACAAGTTCCCCTCCTTATCCACTACAGAGGCTGTGGTAAGCCACTCACACTTTACGGAGATGCAGTCATACGAGAGACTTCAACCCGCAGATTTTAGACAGTAATCTGCGCGACCAGGCAAATCTGTAGCAATTTCTTACGCTGAAGCCAAACTGAGTGACTGATTAGCTGCCAATCTAGTTGACACTTCAGCAACGTGCTTACCGCCCTTTGCGGTCCTCCTCCTCCTCCTCCTCCTCCTCCTCCTCCTCCTCCTCCTCTTCCTCCTTCTCCACAACCGCCACCACAACAACATCAATCACCCCCTCCTCCTCCTATCCATCCATCCGTCCCTTTCTCCCATCCCTCCCAACCTTCTCATTATCATAATTGGCATACTAATTGCCATTATATTTTACCTCGCTGACGTTTTTCCCCTCCCCGTCTCCTTTCGTTTGTTTTCCAATTGATCGCCTGCATCTCGCTCCTCTCGCTCGCTAATCAGGCTTTTTTTTGCGGTACTCTTCATTGCAGGACATCCATGGCATCACCAATTTTCTCGCACGCCAGCTGTTAAAGGAAGGTAAGACGGTGGTATTAAGCAGTACCAAAAAGCATTCCCAACATCCTCTTCCTCATTGCCCTTCCTACCATCCATCCACGTATGTCTCTTGCGAATGTTAACCCTCCCTCTAAACACCCTCATGACTCCCATACAAAAGTTTCTAACCCCGATCTACAAATTATCTTTAGGCGATGCTATTCTCTCTCGGAATCTACTGTATACAATGAAGGTCTACCAACTCAGCGCGGTCAATCGTCGTATCATCTCCCCCGTGGCTCCCATTCGTGCGTCGTCCGTCGTTGACTGCGTTTTTTCTCTGCTTGTCAATTGTCTCCTCGTCAGGTTATCTACGTGACTGTCACTGGACTTTGAGTAGGGCATTGATTGCACACGATTCATCCTCTCATTGGATTAGACACGATCACTAACTGCCCTAATCGCGCAAGCCACTGCATCCGGCTGGCCACACACCTTCACTCAAATGCAGCTATGACCCGTCTAATTGCAGGTAGTCACTGCCATGCCGGTCTTGGATCAGGCAGGATTTCGGATTAAATCCAGAAATGTCCTTTTCCGCGGCCTGCATATAAGGTCACCTTCTGATATCGCCCCTGTTGTTTGAGCTGTTGGACGCGGAAATAAGAACCTCCCCTCCCCCCCTTAACAACATCCCAATAGGGTGCTTACTTATTTGATTTAAGTAGGCACACACACTCACCCCGTCACCAATCGGGATGTTTCTGCGCATTCCCTCGCACCACCAAATGGGTGACTAATAGAATACGGACCGTTGCCCATCCACAGAAAGCCGACTGATTACTTTGATGTCCGACCTAGCAGGTGCGCAAAAGGGATGCGTAGACGAAACTAACACTGGGAATGACAGTGTTCCCTAAGGACAACCTACGCTTCCCACGGCGTTGTCGGCAGTAGGGTTCACGGTCTACAGCTGTCGACACGAAACCGATGTGGGCTCTGAAGTCCAAGGGAAATGTCATATAAAACGTAGTGAAAACTAGCAGTGATCAACTCGCACGACTGGACACCAATTGGACGAAGAAAGAAGAGGGCACTGTCAACGGTAATACGCCCCAGATACTGTTGTTAATGCATTTTATACCTACCAAAATCAAATAGGCAGACACTTATTCCCAGTGTCCTGTCGCTTGAGCAATACGACACCTTTTCGTCAACACGCTTCCAGCACTCCTAATCTGCAAGCTTCACGGCCTTGCTGAGCATTAAAACCCTGCTCCTCCGCCTTATTGAATACGCAAGTCACTTCTCCCTCCCACTAGCTGAGATTTACTCATGTGCGTTTGTACACTTTTTGGCCATTTAGTGTTTAACGAACCCAAGGAGGACTTTGGACATGTCTTGGACTTTCTCGGAAGCCTGGAGAAGCTGAGGGTAAGTGCTTCATTTCATTCCTACAGACCAGTTTGCTTTCATTTTGATCCAACAGTGTAAAACTCTGCGATCTCGGTGGGATTCGAACCCACGATATCAAGGGGAAGGCTTGAGTACAGCCAATGCTCTAGCCACCTGAGCTACGAGACCCCACCGGGAGTCGTAATTGTGATCACGTTTGGGTCAAATTACTCGCCCGGCCTACTGCAGCGTATGGAATCTACCAAATCTGGTAGCATAAGTTAACTGTCCAGGCCGGATTTCGTAAGTAATCAATCTAGAGTCCACCAGATGAATCTGCCAAAACACCTACCAATTTATTTTCGCCATTCTCTCTAAGTTTCATTCGTTAGAAAACGGAAGCAGTATACTTTAGGTAAAGGTGATACCATACAAACAGTACAGGTACTAGCCAAAGGCCCATACACGCATGTTTCACCGATATTCTGCCGCTGCATGTCGCAGCTGCGAGGGATTCGGCGCGTCAGTGGGTCCTCCAGCATTTCCTGTGTGTTTCTGGTAGATACTGCAGTCTAAACTCACGGGACTAGCCCCCCCCCAGAGGCTGGACGTTGAACACACCGCGACAGTTTGTATCCCCGATATCAACCGGAGAAACAATAAGACAGTGGCTCAATGGTGGTGTTGGACTTGACACTCAATGACAGAAGACTCTATGTTCTAATGCTACGTTTTCCCTAACTGGGGGATGGGCATGGCTGGCTGATGGTGTCTAATAAGTCGGAAATGGCCACCCCAGTCTTTGTTGGCATTTTTCCCACAGCCGTACTGGTCCATATGCAACTGTCGGCAAGGCCAATAGGCACAGCAGGACAAACACGCTCTGTGAGCTAACGGGTGAACGTCCTTCTTGCAATTATATTTTTGCTTTCTTTTGTACTTTCAAATGTGTTCTGTAGTCCTCATTCCTCCATCCTATTGCCCATCCTTCCGTTCTTACTCTCCTCTCCATCCGTCCTTTTTCACGTCTCTCTGCAATCTTTCAGCTCATCGGATCCATCGAGAAGCTACACAAGAGCAACGTCACAATCAACTCCCTCAATTTCGACATGTCACCGTTTAAGCGTCTTAAGTACCTCGAGGTACGTCGCGTGGACATTTAGGTGCACTGAGTGCCCTACCTGCGCCCCTCTGTTTCCTCTCCCACAATCACCATGGCAACCGTAATGCAGTAATTAACCTTTTACTACTTCATATGCCTGCCATCGGCCAGTTCTGCCTAATTACAAGTCAGGAACATGATAAATGCTTTGCCTGATGTCCTTATTGTCTTTTTGGATGTTCCAATGTCAGTGCGTCCACGCAGAGGCGTTTCTTCTTTGTGATGGTGACTTCCGCTGTTCTGTACTTACAAATAATTTGTGCTGACTGCTGTAAGTGTAAAAAAACTTGTACTTTCGAATTGCAAAGTAGTCTACAGTCTGCTAGCTTTGCGTAGATTTTATTTTCAACCACTGTCGATCACGCTCGTGAGCATGTGTTCGCTTATTTTCGATTCTGATTTTTAGCCTGTCGATAAAGAAGCTTAGTGGGCTCCCACCCTACCCCCCTCTGCGCGGTGTTACAGGCCTACCTTGGCAGTGTAGCTACCGGTGGCAGGGGACGGGACGCTTTGGCTCTGCTCCTCCTCCCCTCCACCTCATCCTCCCCTCCTTCCCCCCTCCGCCCTCCCTCATTCTCCGTCCGCACTTCTCCCTCCCACCTCCACCCTTCTTATCCTCGCTGCTCTCTCCTCCCTCACCCGCCCCCACTCCCTTTCTCCGTCCGCATCCCCGCCCCTTCCTCCCGCCTCACCCCTTCCTTCT